CGGCCAGCCGCGTCCAATCTGCCCCGCTCAGTCTGCCCGTCTCCGAGGTTCCGAGGAGGGACAGACTGAGCGCGGCTGCCCCAAATCAGGCTGCTTGCTTCGGATTGAACAAGAAGTAGACGTCGCTGAAACCACGGAGCTCGAATGTTTACAGAGAAGTTGCTAAACTTCATCATAATTTATGACCAACCACTATCAGTTGTAGAAAACAAAGGATTTCTCAGCTTGATACTTGCAACCAAGATATAGTTTACCCTCCAGGAGATATTTATCAGTACAACAGTAGACAATCATAAAAAAACATCCATCCATCCATCCATCCATCCATTATCTTTACCCGTTTGTTCCATTTTGGGTCATGGGGGTCGCTGGTGCCCATGTCCAGCAATCACTGTGCGAGGGGCGGGGTACACCCTGGATGGGTCGCAACTCTATCACAGGGCCACATAGAGACAAACGAGACAAACAACCATTCACTCTCACACCTAGGGACAATTTAGAGTTATCAATCAGCCTAACATGCATGCTTTTGGTCTGTGGGAGGAAACCGGAGTACCCGGAGAAAACCCACGCATGCACGGAGAGAACATGCAAACTCCACCCAGAAAGGCCCCTGGACCGGGGTTTGAACCAAGGACCTCCTCGCTGAGAGGCAGCAGCTCTACCAGTTGCGCCACCATGCTGCCCTCATAAGAAACATATGATTTGAAAATTATAAGAAAAACAAAAACAGCTACATTATATAGTGATGTAAAATATTAAAAACAGGAACATGTCTGTTGGTTTATGCCATGAACTTAGCAGGTGTTTAAAGCCATTTAACATTTTATTTAATTTAATTCATTTATTCATTCATTTAAATGAAACAAAATTTAAAAAAAAAATCATCAAAAAGAAAATGTTGAATGAAGAGTGCAGAAAGAAGAAAAAATTCTTATATCTGCCCCTTATAAAATATAAAACAACTTTAAACAATCACTTAAATTAATCACTTTAATATCCACTTTAAAGCTAGGAATAAAAAGAAACGTGTTTGTGTTAGCATAATTTAATTCTAACTATAAAACTTATCCAACATTAATAAAACTTACCTCAAGTTGCCTTTTTGGACATGCATGCATTATTTGTACAAATTGCACTTGAGAGGAGATTATTACAGCCTCATATAAAATCAATGATGATCATGATATCGGAACTGGATCGGTATCGGCAGATACTCAGATCCAGGTATCGGGATCGGATCGGAATTTTAAAAAGTGGATCGGCGCATCCCTACTTTAAAGCTAGGAATAAAAAAACATGTTTTGTGTTAGCAGAATTCAATTCTAACTTTGAAACTTATCCAACATTAATAAAACTTACCTCAAG